GTTATTGTTATTGTAATTTTATCTTTGTTTTGCGTTGGTGAATTTATTGCGTTTTTCTTAAATGCTTTGTTGCTCTTTGCCAAACAAATATTGCTTGCGTTTAAAATTTGATATTAAATGTTGCGTTTGGGTTTTTTATTTAAGCGTTTGTTTTTTATAAGTATTTTTTATTTTTTTAAACGTTCGGTAAAGTTTTTGTGATCGTCTGTTTTTTCATGTTAAGGCTTTGTATGCTACTTTTGTATTTTTTATGCGTTACTTTTGTGAATTGCTTGGATTTGTGGCGTTTAATTTTTTTTAAGTTTGAAATGTTCATAAATAATTGTTGCAGTGTTAATATTTAAACAGTGATAACAGTGAAACGACTAATCTACTAATGTAAGTGTATATCTACATTTCAAGGTAGAACCAAATCTACCGAACATTTTGTTTTTGTGAAAGTGGCCATGGATATGCTTAGTATTTAAGAACGATTAGAAAGTTTAGCTGTAAGATATGATAATAATTATTATAACCGTTTGGTTTTTTAATCTTTGTCCAAAACATATTGTTCTTATTAGTTTGGTAGCAATAGTAAATATTTTAATAAAGTTTTAATTTAAAAAAAAAACATATAAAATAATAATTTGTATGTATTAAATGTTTTGTTTTAATTATTTGCACTGTTAAAAGTTGATTTCAAAGCAAAAGTTATAATTATTGTCTTTGGTTTTCTATCAGGTGCGGGGTGAAATTGCGTTTAAAATAATGTAAATGTGATTCGAAACCAAAATTATTTAAGAGGACCTAAATTCATATAAAAGCACGTTAAAAACACATGTTGCCTTTAAACGGATCGGTAAAGTTTTGGGTTAAAGATAAAGTAAACATTTTTTTTATATTTCAGTTTTTTTTCTAAAGGTATAAACAATTTTATGGACAATGCCAGCTAGTCGTTTGTTTGAATTTTGCAAGTGCCATAAATGCAGTGTTAAGATTTGAAACTAATAATTTTAGTGTAATACATCATAAGTGGGTTTAATTATTTTTCAAGATTTAAAAAACCCTACAACGTACTGTTAATTTTTAACATTAAAGATAAAATTATAAAACATAGTGTTATATATGTGTTATGCAATCCTTAATAAACCTTATTAAATACGGCTAACTATGCTATAAGTCTATTATTGTTATGATTTTCTAATAAATACCAAAAATAAAACAAGTTCTTGCGAAATAATTAACAATTAGAAAAAATTGAAAAGTATAATAAAAGAAAGTAACAAAAGAAAGTAACTTGATCATAATTGGCTAAAGTAAACGTTCTATGCAGCAAAAAATGATGATGTTGACAAATTAACTTTAGATACAATATTTTTACCTGTGTGCAGTGACTGATGGTTTCAAATCACGCACTATTGTATGAAAACAAACCGTAATTAAGAGCAGCAACCAGTCGTGCCTTAACACTGCAACTTTTTTTTTCAATGATGGGGGGATGGAATGGTGATATTTGATTTGATAATAAACATATATTAATAATAATATAATCTAATAATTTGATAATTTGTGAGTACAAGTTTCATTGTATTTCAACCTGCAAAGCAGTACACGGCAGCTAGTATATATAATTATATTTTGTTTTAATTTTGTAAGGAAAAATAAATATTTAATTAGAATTACCAAATAAATTTTATACTTTAGCATAAATCATGTAAAACAAACACATATTATAATCGACACTATATGCTTAGTGTATTATTTTTATGCTCATAAAATATAATATTGTGTTTGCACACAAAGAAAACCTGAAAAATAACAAACTAATACACATTATAAGAAATATTCAATTTTTTTAAATGTATCTTCCAGCATGGTTAGGATTATTAGTACCAAAATTAATGTAAGTTGGTTGGTTTACATAAAAAATAAATTCATATCTACTATATGAAGTTGACTTGTTTCCATCTATAAAATAAGAGAAAAAACAGAAATTGTGCTACGAACTATTTGTAAAGCCACATAATATTATTTCCAACCACTCTAATCACAAACATCTAAAAAATATCTACTGTGGCTGAAAATGCCAATCTACACTAGAAATGCTTTGGAAACCAAACAAGCCATCATCCTAATCCTCTCATTTCCAAACTCTCATCAACTATTCTTGGCAAACCACGAAAAAGATTAAGGAATTGGTGGTGTCGATACTTGCTAGTTCAATAGAAAAAAACCAGCACAGTCTGATCCAACAACTAGGGAAGAAGTGGTATGATATTTTGTAATTAGATAGTATGTAATCCATTGCTTTTAGAATAATTATGAAAAAAATGAATTAATCTTTTAATAATTTGGACATTTTAGACCACCTAAACTGAGCATACCCACATTGTTTCCTTCGAAATACTATCAAAAGTTTCAAGTAATTTTTAGAGTTTGCAACTCTATTTTCAAAGTTTGCAAGCAAATATTACACAAGATATGAATAATTTTATAAAAGGTTGGCCAACTTCTTGTACCCCTGTAACTCGCTATGATTGTGATCTGTTAGGTAATATTGAAACATCCAAGTTTTTAGAGTTCTCAAAATGGTGTCAAATTAATTGTTATAATTGACAAGAATTTGCATGTAAGCTCGATAGTTACTATGTTATATAACGTGGTAACCGTAGAAATCGTAACCGTGGTAACCATAACTCTAGTAACCATACAAACTCTTATATCATTACCAACGATACGACGGTAACCATAACCTTGACAACCAACCAACTTAATCACAACCATAAAAATACTTTATTGTACAGAATTACATATTTCCTCTACCCAAAAAAATGTCAATAAATTAAAATCTATTAATATTACATAACTGTTTGAATCAAAAACTATAGGTACAAAGTTAACTACATTGGGCTCCAACAAGACCACACAGACTTATATTGGAATTATGGTGACTAGTGTAATGGTTGCTTTTTTTAGAATAAGTAGTATATTTATATATTATCTACCAATAGTTGTGTTTAGTTCGAATTTCAAACTATATTATTTTCAACAGCTTTCATATTTTCCAATACAAATTTTCTTACAAAGATTGTAATCGTTGAACTAATTTTAATGCTTATTGAAATGAATACAATTTTTTTAAATAAATCATTAGGACGATTTATCTGTTGTAAGACACTCAATTTCTCAAAAAATATGAATATTTAGAAAATTATTTTTTTCCTATATTGGTAGTTACATATTTTACAATATTTTTCACTGCTTTAATACAGTTAGGCCATGAATTTCTAAAGACTCAGTATTTGTCGACATAAGGTGCACGCTATTAAAACGCATGATCGGTATGTGTATCAAAAATAATGTTTACAGTCTTTTGAACGTGTAGGAATTTTTTTTATATAAACGATTACTAAGTTTTCATTTATGTAAACTTGAAATGGAAACGCACAACATCGAATCACACAAGTGTTTTTCCAAAGTAAAAAAAATTGTGATTTCGAGTTAACCCCCAAAAAAGTTGTGCTTTCGGTAAGGCAAGAATGCGATAAACAATATTTAAAAAAAAATCATATTTTAAATGGCTGATATGCGAAATTATACCAAAATCTCACTTTATAACACTTAAAATGATTTATACATGTAGGTATAAATAATATTGTCTTCTCATTAATGATTCGAATGACCCTGTACATAAATATACAACCCTTAAAAATCTGATGAACAGTGGATTATTGGTTTGTTTTGACCTTAAATGAGAGCTCTAATTTTTTGAAAACGTGCAACCCAATGCATTGGCTATTTTTTAAATTGACAAAACTATTTTTTTTTTAGAGAGTTGACCACTCAAACCACTCAACTCAACTTGAAAATGTTTCACCAATTTTTAATGTCAATGTGCAACCCAATGCATTGGCTATTTTTTAAATTGACAAAACTATTTTTTTTTTAGGGAGTTGACCACTCAAATAATGTTTTCATCGTAGAACGTTTCAACACAGTTCGGATTTTTTTTTATAATTTTAAGTATAAAATAAAAAAATTCTTTGCTATTGATACTAAAAATGGATACATATAATAAAATAAATAAATAAAAACAACCTTTTTCTTGGTAAAATTTGATTTTAATTTTTATTTTAAGAGTAAAACGATATAAGCAATTCCCGATTCGCTGTAGAGTACTTTGAAGCGAGGAGTTGTTTTTCATTAAAGCTAATAATAATAATTACCCCTGTTGGTCGGGGGAAATAGGCCATCGGTTGTTCCTGTCTGTCATAAAAAGCGACTAAAAGGGACTTGTAGGGGGCAGCAGCCTCTACAATACTGGTGTAGGTGCAGGTAACCATAGAGTTATGGTAGAAACAGCTACACACCGATAAAAGTCGGCAGATATGGAGCTGTATAACTGGCGACTTCACTGCGATGAGGAAGGCAACGGGATACCACCTCATTATTTTCCCTACTTAAACAACAGTTTTTAACATCGATTCAACAATGGACTTTAGCAGAGTAAAAAATATTCCGGAGGTAAAATAGTTCCCCAATCGGATCTCCGGGTGGGAACTACCCTGCACGAGGTACAAGTGGTGAATCCCTGTAGGAAGAGGAAAAATAGGATGATAGGGACATGGAACATAAGAACAATGCGCCAATTAGGCAAATTAAAGAAAATTTATAATTAAAATGGAAAGAATGAAATTAGAAATACTAGGTTTATGTGAAACAAGATGACAAAACAGCGGAGATTTCTGGTCAGAAAACTATAGAATAATTCATTCCCAAGGAAAAAACGGACAATGCGGAATTGGTGTAGTGCTTCATAAAACCTGGGGAATAAAGGTTACAAATTATATCATGTACAGCGAAAGAATTATTATGATCCAACTGGAAGCAGAACCAAATGATCTATTTGTAATACAAGTATATTTGCCTACGTCAAGAGCTGATGACGAAGAAATCGAGGAAGTGTATGCTGGGATAGAAGAACTACTAAAACTCACAAAGGAAAAGATAACGTTGTTATAATGGGTGACTGGAATGCTGTTGTAGGTGAAGGAAAATACGGTAGAGAAGTGGGAAAATATGGACTAGGTCAAAGAAACGCAAGAGGAGACCGATTAGTGGAATTTAGCAGAGAAAACAGTTTCGTGATTACGAATACATTATTTAAAGAACACAAGAGAAGACGATACACATGGAAAATGCCCGCGATACAGAAGATACCAGATTGACTATATACTAGTAAAGAATCTGTTTAAAAATCAAGTCAAATCTTGCAAAACTTATCCTGGAGCAGACTGTGATAGTGACCATCAACTAGTGGGTATGAAATTTTGTATAAAACTAAAAAAATCGTTAAAGTTGAAAGAAAGCAAACAAACTATAATCTCAAATAGTTGAAAAACGTGGAAGTAGTTGAAGATCTAAAGAAAAACATGGATAAAATATACAGCAATAAAGAGGAGCGAAAAGAACCAATAGACAAAAGATGGGAGAACATAAAAAGCGTTGTAATAAACACCTCAAGAACCACACTAAGTGTGAGAAGAAAAATACCTAGTCGGGAATGGATCACCCCAAATATCTTGGACCTAATTGAGGAAAGACGAAAATACAAACACCGGGCTGACATGGAAGGACAACTAAAATATCGAAACATAAGAAACCGTATAAACAGAGAATCAAAAAAAGCAAAAGAAGAATGGCTAGAGCAACAATGTGCTGAAATAAACCATCTTTTTGGAACAAATAGGCTAGATCAAGCCTATGGAACCATTAAAAGTTTCCTCAAAACAAATAAAACTCGCAATAATAATATTAAAGACAAGAATGGTAAATTGCTCTTGGACACAAGAGAGGTGGTAAACCGATGGAGAGAGTACCTTGAAGAACTTTATCAAGGGAATGAGTTACAAGATATCAATGAAGAAACTAATGAGTGCTCTTATGGTGCACCGCTACTAAGAAGTGAATTTAATGCCAGTCTTAGAGATTTTAAAAATAAAAAAGCCCCGGGAATAGATGAAATCCCCGGAGAACTACCACAAAACGCAAGTGAAAGCATAATAGACGCGACGTACTATCTTATGAAAGATATAATAAAATAACATGCTTATCATTTATAGATATCGAAAAAGCTTTCGACAACATTGATTGGCAAATTATGTTCTCAATAATGAAGGAAATAAATTTAGATTTTAAAGACAGGAGAATTATATATAACCTCTACAAAAATCAAAGCGCAGAAATTACAATAAATAATGAGTCAGCTAGTGCGAAAATACGTAGAGGTGTAAGACAAGGGTGCCCACTTTCACCATTATTATTCAACTGCTACATAGAAAAAAGTATAACGGAAGTTAAAGATAAACTTAACAGACTTGGGATTGGAATCAAAGTAGGTGGTATATTGATTCCAATGATCCGGTTTGCAGACGACATCGTATTATTAGCAGAAACAGAGCACGACCTTCAGAGAGCCCCGGCAGAAATGCAAATAATTATAAATAAGTATCAAATGCGTATAAATTCAGGTAAAACAAAAATGTTGGTTTGTGCACGTGAACCCACAATTAACGCAAATATTTATTTAGAAAACAAACTTATTTCCCAAGTTTCTAGTTTTAAATACTTGGGAAGTTTAATAACATCAGACGGAAAAAGCTCGCAGGAAATTAAACAAAGAATCGGGCAAGCAAAGGCAGCTTTTATCAAGAAAAAGAAAATTTTGGTTTCGCAAAAAATTAGCAGAGAAATTAAGAAGACATTTTTAAGAACGTTTGTATGGAGTGTAGCTTTATACGGCTGCGAGACATGGGTCATTAATGAAAAGGAAAAAAGATCCCTTGAAGCATTCGAAATGTGGTGTTGGAGACGTATGGAGAAAATAAACTGGACAAAAAGAGTAACAAATGAAGATGTACTGACCCAAGTTGGAGAAACAAGATCCATAATTAAAGCCATAAAGCGACGACGATGGGACATGATGGGACACGTTTTACGCCATGACGAAGAATTGCATCATACTATAATAGAAGGTGCAATTGAAGGACGAAAACCACCAGGAAGACCAAGAAACTCGTACATATCTCAACTGAAGAATGACGCAGGGATTGATACTTACTTGCTGAAGATCGTGATAAATGGAGAGCGAAGTTAAAAACGTTGTAAACCAACCTAATATAGGTTGAAAAAAAAAAATAATAATAATAATTTTTTTCAACACCTTAAGTATATTTGTGTTATATTATTATAGCAATCAATAAAATAATGTTAAAATTTATTTTTTAATTTGGGCATAATTGCTACTTTAATTGAAATATTTTCTAAATTAATTTTTAAAAGATAACAACCATTTTTTTATAGAATCCGAGTAATAAATATTTTATTTTATTTTTAGTAAACAAATTAAAAGACATTTTCATGTCTCGTTGAAGTACCGAATACATTTAGAGTACTGGTGGAATTATGGATAATGAAAACTAATGAAAAATTAACAAGCAGTAACATAGCTAGTATCTAAGGTGGCTAGTAAACATATCAAGTTTCTGCCTAATATTTTAGTGTTTTCATAATATCTGGCCTAAACCAATTCATATGGAATATGACTTGTTAAATTATTGAATTTATTTTTCAGTTATTTGGTCGTTGTGAATACAGCACATAATTAAAAAAAATTATCATCCCCAACCCCATCCTCATTCCCAACCCCACTACCAACACCATCCTTAATACACTAAAACTTTAGTTTTGTAAATTGAAAAAAAGCAAGTTTAGCATTAGAATTTTCAAATGAAGTGTTAAAAATTATAGAAACGCATACAAAATGTATTCAAATTCATCTTTTAACATGAAAAACTCAATAAAAACATTCAAATTGCCATTTTAGTATTAAAAATATCTAGCAATCAGTGTTGAGACAAGATAAACTGAAAAATTATCTAAATAACCAAATAGATGAAATTAATTACAAATTTCAATTAGGAGGACGTTATACTCTTTAAAATTAATCGTAAAAAATGGGTTTACGGTAAAGCGTGTAGGTAAAAGCGAATTCGTGTAGGTCATGTATAAAAAAATGTTGGAACCGTTAAAAAGAAGAGAACTTTAAACAGGTTATCTCGTCGGTTTTCATGGAAAACTAAAATTTTACCTCAAATACAAGCACTTAAATTTTTTTTAAAAATGTCAAAGTTAAAATACAAATTGTGACTGTCGGTTAATAATTTCAAAAAAAGGTGACGAGAGAACCTAGAAGAAGTTCTGGTTATTTTAAATATGTAAAAAAAAAATTGACTTCGATTGTTATTTAATTGATAAGAAAGAATATGCGTAGCCAGTTAAAATGATTTTTTTTAAATCGCTGTCATGGAAGCTATGAGATTTCGAAAAATTGATAAACTGCCAAAAAAGAGTCAACATTACTTAACTTATAATTAAACATCATAGTTTAGCCTTTAAGTTACGATTTTACAAAAAAATTGCCTATAATTAACTCCTTAATAAATAGCGGGTTTAACGTCATCTTAAGATACATCTCAACAATGCTTGTAATTCCACAAAATGTGCTTGCTAATTAATTAGTTAAGTGTAATTTATTTTAAGACAATTTTGAATACATTTAGTGAACTTGCAAATTAAATAACACCATTTGCTAAATAACCAAACTAATTAAGTAAGGAAACCAATTTAGGAAATTTTATAAACATTGGTGCATAATTTTATAAATATTATTGTAGGACAACCGGCAGTTGTTCTCCGGATTTAGTTTTGTAATAATTGTATGGAAAAATTATATTATTTACGATAATCGTATAGCTTTTCCTCCAGCCTATTTCTCAAAATTATCGACCAGTCTTTTTTTTTACTGGGTATTCATACTTTTTTACTGTGTATTTATTCATGACACATGTAATAAATATTAAATTATATAATAATACGTTATATTCCACAAAAAAACTTCACTAAATATCAAATACACATAAATCATTTTACAAACTTAGAATTTAGCACACAATAGTGCGTTGCAAAAAAAAAGTGAAATCGACATTGTTTTTTATTTAAAATATGATGTAGGAATTATTTTCGTATACTGCATTGTTCTTATTTAAACTATTTCAATACCATTGCAGTTGACCAGCGAGGATATTTTTTTCACAACTGGCTATTTAGGTATATGTAATATATATTTTACACTGTTTTATTTAGTCAAATTTAGTCAACTCTAACATCAAATCTCTCTATAATAACCATTAAGATGAACTATCAATTAGGAATATAAACCATGAATCTGTTACCCAAACTTGCACGGTCATTTAATAAAGGTAGAACAGAAATAAGGAAAGGACTTAAAAGCAAAAATAAATAGTTGGAATAGATTAGGTAAAAATACAACTTACTTATTCGGTAATTGTTTATTATATTAGTAGACATGTCATAAAACAGATATAGACATATTATATTATGCACGAAAAAAAAAATGTATCATGTGGAATATGTTATTGAAAAAATCCACAGACGGCTCTTTTCCCGTCAGCTTAAGTAAATGTATATTATTTTATAATATTTCAAATTTTATAATGTGTACAATGATAATAATAAGATAAATAATAAAATATTATGTAATAAACAAAATGTGTTTTTCTAACATTAGGTTAATTTCTGGGTGGATTTCGTGGATTTGAATGTTTTATTAGTGCCTTAAGTGATTGGACATCATTTGTCTCGTATACTCTTTTGTTATCATGTGTATCCGATAAGATACATTTACGGGCAGGTAAGTCAATCTCAACTTCCACTAAGTATCTTACTGGATATTGTGTACTAGCCAATAATGCAAGCAAACGACACTTCAGTAATAAAGAGGCTTCATCATCTCCATCCTGCACAGTATCTATTAAAAATATTAAAAATATATTTTTTTTAATTTGCTAATATTAGCTTACCAGTTACTACTTTTCTTTTTGGTGCAGGACACGACTGTTTTATTTATTATTACAAAGTCATAAAAAAATAATACAATAAGCATGACTGTACGTATTGTACAGGCATGCTATTTGTATTACATGAAAGTAGTTATAATTTATTTGGTTAATTGTTAAACATTTAATTCAGTTGAATCCTTGTTCATTATTATATAAACACATTAATAGTGTTCAAAAAACAAACAACTCCATAATTATACATACCTATTATACGTGTTTGGATTAAAACTTTTAAAGATGAGGCAACATAATCTCTTCTCCTGTTTGCAAATTGTTCCAGTTCTCCCAAACCTATGAAAATAGTTATCAAATGATCGTGTTGCGAAGAAACAAATAATATATTATTTGCTCTTTATACAAAATGATTGCATTACATTTCAAATAATTGTGATATATCTAACTTTTTGTACAACCATTTATTAGTGTTGCAACTCAATAAATGTATTCTTTCTATACTTAAAATCCCAAAGAATTTATTACACAATAGCACTGTAGTCATACGTTCTCTCACACTCTCCTCAACAAAATGTTAAGTTTATTATGACAATTATTTGACATGAAACATTAAATAAATAATATTAAGAAAATATTGATTCTAAAACAAGCTTTTAAGGCTATCTACGACTGTCAAAAAATTCTTAATTACCATTATAACCTTCAGTATATCTATATTCTGAAACAAACACATCAAATCATTATGCAGTTACTAAAACCCGGTATTTTTCATAACATTCTCTCTATAACTGAAATTAATTAGATCAATACTAATTAATTGCAAAATAGTATTATATAAATGTTAGATTTATATCTTATAGCGATGATTAAATGAACGGTTTGATTTATATTTTGAATGATTCTTAAAAGCTTAAACATAAAACATATATAGATTTATGATTTTAGGTTATAAATCAAGATATTCTTTAAAAATACAAAAATATGTAACTATTAATTTTTAATTGTATATTTACGTATTGAATCTTCAATGTCTTGCAACATTTTTTGCAAGAAAAAATTGGCTTCTAAAATTTAAAACAAAATACATTTTAATGTACCTACATATTTCTTATGAACAAAACCGAAGTCAAAATCATATTGGTATTTGTCAACAGGTACATATGATCATACTCTAAGTATTTATAAATAATAAATATGAAATACGTATAATAAATATGAACTATAAAAGATGTTTTTACTTTTAATCCGGGTATCACCTGGACGTGCTGAAATTAAAACAAAAATCTGGTGTGCATAAAGAATATCTAACAACTGTGTGGAAGCGCTTCCGTAAATTGCAATGAAAATTATTACCCGTTATTTTATCGACAATTAAGATTTTGTCTGAAATTAAGAACACATAAAGTAATGATATTGCATTTATTTTTCCATTCTATTATGAACAGGAAGACAAATTTCAAGGTAAAAAAAAAACAGCGTATCAGTAACTTGGAAGAATAATGCTCCACTGTATATTCGATACGATGAGAATATTTGGAAAATTCAATAAGAATGAAATAATGGACAATTTTAATAAAATTCAACAAAAACTATTACCTGGTACAGCAAACAAAAAATTAAGTATGCCTGAAATTTACATCATAGAAATTAATGATATTAAATTTGGCTTACGATAGTAAACTATTACATTAACATTATATAATTAGAAATTAGAAGACGAAGGTCAAAGTAGAAAAAAACTATAAAATACAGACTAGGGAAACCTTATGAAATGTATTAGCTGAGTTTATGCAGTTAAGTCGATTAGAATAAAATATCTTAATCAGACGAGGTTGGTTGAGCTAACATCAGTATTTTTTTCGTAAAGCTTCTTTTTAGATTTCGGTGAAAAATATAGTAGTTAAAACACTCATCAAGTGCATAACGATAAACTTGAGATACAGTTAATATATTATTTTAAATTATTTTTTTCTACTCCTGTCCTGATATATTTTAAGATGATTTTAGTTATGATTACAGAAATCGGTGTTATTATTCATCGTCTCAATTATATGCTCCAAATGATCTAGAATAAACAAATGAAAATTTTAACTATACTAAAATATTAAAATTAAATCAAATTAGGTAAAATAAAGTTTCTATATACATATATATATATATTAGTATATTATTTAAAATATAACATCTTACTTTGTAAATACGCAGCTCTGATAGTTTGAGCTGTGATACATAATTAAAAAAATCTGTATAAAAACAGTGGATTCTAAAAAAATTAAAACAATTGTTTATAAAATAAAAATGTTACTAACTTGTCTCGAAAACATTTTTCTTATAATCATCTGTAAAAAAGTGATATGTTGAATTTTTATCAAATTAAAACTACTTTAAACTGCGAAAATAAAGTAATTACCATTATCATTTGCCAAAACATCCACAAAAAAAAAATATACTATTAAACAGAAGAGTTTCATTTTTGTCTGCGAATAATAAATAAAAAAACGTTGTATATTAGTCACAGTTGCCTTCAGTGCAGAGATAAGAAGATTAGGTTAGGTATGGTTTTGGAAATTTTAATATGATAAATATATATATATACAGGGTGTTCTAGCATGAAAGGTAAGTAATAGGTGATTGAACATCTGGGAGGCCCCCAAATAAGCCCCCCGTTTTCATTTTTTCGATTAGTCAAAAATTGAAGGTTTCGACAGTAAAGTAAAAAAATAATGACCTAAAATAACAAAAAATTATTTCATGTTATTCAGTGCAAAAAGCTCACCTTAAAAGAGGGGTCACATCATTTTCAGTCTTTTTCAGCACCTAACTCTTATCATTTTTTTTTTAAGTCATTATTTTTTTACTTAACTGTCGAAATCTTCAATTTTTGACTTATCGAAAAAATAAAAACGGGAGGCTTATTTGGGGGTCCCCAGATGTCCAATCAACTATTACTTACCTTTCATGCTGGAACACCCTGTATATATTTATGTATTTACACATTTTTTTACTAGCCTGACAATATTTCCTAGACCGTTAAGCTGATTTTTTTGAACAGGAAGGTAGATATCTTGAAAGGTACTTTATTTGGCCTAAATTACAGTTATTTCACTAATAATGAAGATAGACAAAAATAAAAATAAGTCTCCTAACTATTTAAATTGCATTGTATAAAATAGTTAGGTTACACTATTTAAAATAGAAATTAGAAAAATGTAGAAATGTTCTTATTAAATTTAGATTTTATGATGTTGTATACACTTAATTCTCAAGTGTATAAACTTGACTACGCATAACAGCTTAAAAGTGAAACTATTTATGAGGATATAGTGGAAAGAAGATAACATTTTAGAGAGATGAAGTAAAAATGAAATTTTATAAATCGTTTTCATAATATGTCACAAAGGTAGCGTCTTGATAATAGCGTAAAAAATAGAATTAAACTAAATATTTCGTCCAAGTCAAAAAGGAATATTCAGCAAAATGATTTAGATTTTCCATCATATATCATTAGTAAAATCTTATTTTTGGAGCGTATTCATTTCTGTCTTATATACGTGTACAAATTTGTTTTTAACTTTTCGTTTCAAAATCGTCAGAAATAAAATTAAAAACTTAATCACATGCAAAAACTATATTTTCCTAATTTTTAAAGTGAATAATAAATTTTTTTTAGAAAATACATTTTTTATTAAGACGGATGATAAAAACATTTCTTTTTTTAATATTTATATTAGATTTATAATGTGTATACTTATACACATTATAAACTTTTACATTATAAACATTATACGCTTATACTTTATTTGATAACTATCAAACAAACATTAACTTAATATTGCTTAGTGCTTTTTAGAAAGTCTAACAAGAAAATTTATGTTTTCTATGTTTTAGCATTAAAATTATATTTATTTTTAATGATCTTTTTTTAAAAACATCGACAACATGGGTCAAAATGACATTTTGTGTTACATGTGTTATATTTTTCTCTTATAAAATATCTAGAAATCATTATTTGCAATTTTCTTTTTAAAAAAGAAAATGTCTAATGTTTTGTTTTTTGTTAATTGTGGTTTTATGTTATTTTTTTTTCAATTGTTTGATGTAAAAAAAAATAGTCTACGGTGTAGAAAATATCATTCTTCAAAAAAAAAACACTTGTTTTTGCATGTTTTTAATTTTGGAATTTTATTTTTGACGATTACAGAATATTGTTAAAAATCTAAAACTATAAATATTTTTAAAATTTAGTTCCCTATAAAGTTTAATTTTTAGCTTCGATGCGCGGAGGTATGGTTTTTTTATCTTTGTACTGTTGAAACTTTATGAGTTATGGTGGAAAATCTTAATTATTCTTCTGAATATTACTTCTTTCACTTGGGGTGGACAAAACATGTATTTTTGTAATCTTGGTTGTACACGCAAAGAGTTCTACTTTTGTGAGGTATAATGAAAGCGATTTTAAAAAATGCCTTTATTCACTACACTTTCTTTTGTTACACTTCAAGCCAAAAAACACCAAAATCTATTATAGAATTCTCTCCAAAATGTGGATGTTGTAAAACGATGATAAAGAATCGATTAAAAAAATAACTAACAATAAAAAATCCTTACTACTGTTCTTAAACACTTTTGACTCATTAGGCTCATGCCTTTTTAGCTTAAGCTTAAATTTTAGAGTTAAATAGAAGTACTTACTTAAATTGAGGAGTTGGTTCTTGGACAACAGTGGACTTGTTCAGCTTTTGAAACTAAATGTACTGCTTGCGACTTATGGTTGGGCTTAAATGTCGACCAAAAAATTACAATCCAAATATTTTTTTGCAGTGTAAATATTATGTTCATTTATTTACATAATCGGTTCATTTTTTTTTTTTTTGCGATTTATTGCGTACAAACCATACATAGAAAGCGGAGTTGGGACTAGGTATTTCTACACAATACGCATAAATCAAAAAAATGTATTAAAATACAATTTTTATAACGTATATTATAATATTATGATGTGTTATAATTAATTAAAATTGACTAATAATTTTCAGCAATAATTTTTAACAAAGTGCCTTATGCTAATTATGTTTAATCGAAAACAATGGCGGCTTATCGGTTAGGTTATTGGTTATTGGATCACATAACTGTGTGAAATAAGAATCGTAATCAACCTCAGCAAGTTTACTACTGTAGACTACTGTAAACAATCAACTTTTACAACATTACATTTGTCTACAAAGTGTGAATAACAACAATATGTCCTTCTTCTTTATGATAAATGCATTTAGATGCTAAATAAATATTTGTTCAGACCAAAACAGTTCACGAAACTGCCATAATCGACTATGCAACGTTCCACTCTAGACTCAATGGTCATCCGAACCAACTCGATAAAATAACCTCGCTTTTAGTTCTCTACCAGACATTCCGATCATCACCGTAATTTTCACACACTATAACTTTGAAGATTTGTGTCTTAATACTGTATCGCACGAATTTTTCTCATCTATCATAATTCGTCGACAATTCGGCTGCTAAAAGCCAGCCCAATGTCTTTCGAAAGTATACGAAAATTGAATTTAATATATTTTGTTTTTGCTATAACGTAAATTTAGGTCGAATAACATTCACTGCTAAGCTTGGTTCTGGGTTAGTTAGCCGTTGTTTTTGTTTTCGAGATTCAGCTATACCGTGCGGTGTACACAACGGCCAAATGTTTTCACTAGCTCTGCTCAGGAAAAAAATGAACAACAAAATATGACGTAGGTATCTTATGCGATCAACTGTATACATAAAATAAATATGAAATACCAACGAAATTCTCAAAGGCCAATGTCAACCGGTAACAATGCTTTCCATAATAATAATAATAATACTTTACTAAAAATCTGTAAAATCTAATCCTCTTTGAAACTAGCAAACAATCTTGAGCCACACTGCAAAAGGCGAAATAAGTGCTCGCAAATTTATTATATAGCAAGAGATTCGTGATATTTAATTAGAACTATTAATGCTGTAAGTGTTAATTTTTCAAAAATGTATAGCGTGCCGCAATCCGGAAAACCTAATGCTTGTAATAGGCAGATACTACCTCGACATAGAAATTCAATTATTAGCTGGCTACTATTTTATTAGGTGTAGGTATTATTTATATGGGAAAATGAAAGAAAAGAAAACTTTTTCAGTTGCATATCTAGCATGAACGTTGAAGCTACATGTATTATCAAGAGGGGGTGCCTAAAAAAAATTCTGGGGCAGGATATTGTCACTTTAGCAGTGTTGGACAAAATCGTTATTTAAATAAATAGCGGTTCTTGTATCATTGCAATGATTTATTAAATCGTGTTTCCAATTTAACAGGCCATCTGCTAAATAACAAGGCAAATTCCGAGGGACAGAGGCCACTCAGTCTAAGTACAATCTAAGTTGTAATACACGAGCACAATAATATTGTACACGTGCATTGTTCAAATAATAACATGTTTTCATGTTAAACTAAAACTATATTATGTAGGTTACCCGTGTAAGAATTTTATCGGTTTGGAAAAAACAACAGATACTACGTAACCAAGTCACATTTTATAAAAGCGATACCGAATCATCCGATTTAATATACTATACAAAATATGCTTCTTGATGGGGCTAAAATAATACTTGTTTTTACTGAACACCAAAAATATTATTTCAAACCCTTTAAACCATGTACAAATACATCAGTATATAAAAAACCCAGATATGTATAATATTCTGATGGCTAAGGTTTAACTGCTTTAGTCCTACTAAAATAAAACTCAATTAAAAACATGACAAAGTTAAGTTACGCTTATACGAGTATAAAGAGGAACGGACAGTTTAAAACGCCCAAGTTATAACTTCGACATGTTTTCAATACTTTTTTTTACCTTTCACTTTTGGAGTTAACTCACAAAACAAGATTTTATTAGGCTTTCTGAGTCGCGTTTCACCCTTAAATATACTTTCTTCTAGTTTACTAAAAGTTGTACAGACCAATAAATAACCTAAGAGTAGGTGATCAGATTATGTTTTTTGAGTGTCGTTTTTATATTATCTACATAATGTACCATAATTATCAGTATCCTCACATTGACTTTAGCACGAACAATTATTCGAAACTAACGTTAAATGAGTATAATATAGTTTATGACGTCAGCATTTTTTTGAAACATCTAGAAAATTATTCGTATTCTAAAAAGTAATCGAGTCCAAGTCAATAGTACGTGATTAGAGTGGGTTTAATATAATGTCAACGGTTTGGTCATAAGTCAAGGAGTTTTAAGCAATACATTTATCACACTACAATATTTAGTTCAACTTTCCAAAAGTTGTATTGATGTTATTTAAGTATTTTTATATTGTTATGCTTGTTTTTTTCGACAAACAAATAATTTTTAAAAAAATCCTTATATATTAAATATTATTATAAGAACTATACGCCTTAAATTCTATACAAACACTGTTTTACATTTATATTATAACTAGATGGATAACTTTGAAAATATATTTTTGATTTATATTATATTTTAACAATATTATACAAATAAGACCGAACAAAGGGATATAAAACAGTGTGATATTATTTTTTAATATCACAATTTTTAAAGGCTTATTGATCACTAAAAGATGTATTTGGTTAGCAATTAACCAGTTTTATATAATTTTATAGAAAATATAACGATGATTTTCTTCATTTTTATTTAGTTTCTTATTAAACAGATTTTTATTTGGCGTGTTGGTTTTTTTTTAAATTTAACCGGGTAAATAAAAATTAGGTAATTAATTAATTTTATTTATGTTGAACAAAATAAGCATCAACAATAGATTAAGTACATGTACAGTATGTTTGAAAAAACATTTGTGTTTGTATAAAATAGTATTGAGCGCAAAACTTTTTCTATAACATAGCTATAAAACTACTTTTCACCGGGCTAAACTAAATAAAAAAAAAAAATTGTATCCAAGGCTAATCATCGAAATAAGAATTTCGTAGGTACCTGTATTTATGGCTTTCTGTAAATATTCCCATGTTACATTGACTAATTTTTCAGCAGTTTTAGACACATTCCCTATTAAGAACGTTTCATTCAAATCGCCATGATATCCTCGATGACATACAGTTATGTCGACTGTAAATAATAATAATGATTGGACTTCAAAAATAGGGTACTGGGTAATGGGGTGTTTGTGTAGTGTTGAAAAACACAAACCATTGCAAATGTATCCGTCGGCTAGAGGTCTCATGTCCGGTATACCATGACAGATAACTCTATTAACAGATGTACAACATGACTTTGGATACTTGTAATAGTTCAGCGGTGACGGATAACATTCTCTTACAACACACGCTACGTGACATATTCTATCGATTTCATCGGTTACTACGCCAACATCGATCATTAATGCTACTTCACGGCCAAGCTTCAAAAAAATATCAAATTACATTTATTTACATTTTAAATAGGAAAATATTATATTTGTAAATTTTTTTTTTTTTTTTACCTTACAAGCTATTTTCATTTCTCCTAGTTCTTCGTCATTCAACACTTTGATGTGAGATGCTAGTTTAACTTGTTGTTCACTTAGGGGTATACCTTCTGGATGATCGCCATAATCAGGTCGTGGTATATGATCGGACCCAGTACGCGGTGCGGATGTTTTTTTGGGGCGCAACGGACCTAAATTAAAAAAAAAAAAAGATATGATATTATAATGTCAACTTAAAGATTGCTAAAATCTAAAGTAGAAGTGTAAACATATTATAGTATTAAATTACTTTTTTTTACCTGTGAATGCATAATTTGGCCATGGGTTATAAACGTCTGGAGTACCAGACGTTTATAATCCATTTATATTGTATACGCATTATAAATAAAAAAAGGATTGTGGTTTTGTTTGTAGTTGGTACCTATATAAAAAATCATTTTTTAGCCGAGTCTGCAACCACGAAAGAGCATTTTCATGTCTCGTTGAAGTACCGAATAAATTTAGAGTACTGGGGGAATTATAGAAAATGGAAATGATTAACAAGCTAGTAACTATGGTGGCTAGTGAACATATCAAGTCTCTGGCTAATATTTTAGTGTTTTCATAATATCCGGCCTAAAACAATTCATATGGAATATGACTTGTTAAATTATTGAATTTATTTTTCAGTTATTTAATCGTTGTAAATACAACACATAATTTAATATAACAGCGTAACGCTTTTTTGGTAATTTTTTTTGGCTATGTGCCAGAACTAAGACATCCCCACCCCTATCCCCATTCTCATCCCCATCCCCAACCCTAAACTTCATTCCCAACCCCAACCCCATCTCTCATCTCTCATCTCTAATCTCTTATCTCTTATCCCCTATCTCCTATAATATCCTATCTCTTATCTGATACCAGAGTAATGATTTTTTCTTCACAAGTTTTATCAAATTGTTTGCTATAGTAGTATACTACCCCATTCCAAATTTTTCTTTATTTGTTTTTTTTTCTAACCGTTGTTTTAGGAATTATAATTAGACTTAAAGGAGAGGTAACCAAGATACTGTATAGCTAACCTAATAATTTCCCTGACTAACCTCAGGGAAATTAGTTTAAAATTTGAAACAATTTTTCACCCCAGTCGTTAAGTAAGCAGGACCCTAGCTTTCTAAGATGTTCAATTTTTTCCCCCGACGAGTATCTAGACAAACATTACGCTTTTCGTTACTTTGCATTTCTTAAGACATACCCCTTAAAGGCAATAACTTTTTACTAAATTTTAACACAGTAATTTTTATTACCTAAGCCTGATGTGCTCTTTTCCATGCCCGAATTTCGTTGTTTTCCACTAATTTAGCAACTTTATCTTATCGTTTGGAATATTTTTATTCAAAATCTGCTGTGGGACAGTTTAAGAGGTGTGGAAACGCTTATTGTTGGTATCTTGGTTATGGCGCAGTCGGTTAGAATCTTTTACGGCATTCGAATCTCGACCTAGGGCTAATTTGGGGATGTCGAAATTTAGGGTTTTCTCATGTGCAATTTTGTTGATATCATTTTTTTTTTCTAGTATAAATGCTAAGGTTATAATATATGGAAAATATTTTCGAAACACCAACGACTTCGGCACTTGTGCACATAAGTTTGAATATATTTTTTTTTTACCTGACACGGATAAATATTCATAAATCAAGTGTTAAATTTCTACCAGAAAAATACACCGATCCAACGACAATTGTGCACATTATAGTGTTAGATTTTATGTAGAAAAATTCGAAGGTTATAACATATTATTCATCGAACCAGATACGCTATTTACATACGATTTGCGCACATAGATATTTTATTATTTCACAATCGCTGCCTTGAAATATTCCGTAAAACAAATGGGTAATTTTAATAAAAAAAAACCTAGCGCTAACGACAATGACTATACGTGTATTAAGTATGCCTATTGACGGTGGATATTCATAAAGCAAAAAGCCAGTACAATGGGGTAGGGACTTTTGAGGTTGACCGAGCTGACTTGATGTGATAAAATCACTTTTAAATAAACTGTTCGATGCGAATCCGTAGGAAAAAAACGATTAATAATAGCAATAATGATTTATGTACTATTGGGGTGGTTGCGATAAGGGTTGATCGTTTTGGTACAATAGTTTGTTGGACCTTGTTACCAACGATATGATGCAAATATATTCCAGAAACCTGTTGACTGGTTAATTCACTCTCACTCATTAAAACCCACAAACTTACAACCTTCAAAGTGTAATTTCCCCATTTATTTTGGTTTTTCCTAAATAAAAAAAAAAATTTGTTTTACTACCAATTTTTAAGAAAATCGGATACGAAGTTATTGTGCCCTATTTTATAAAACAAATATGTTAATATCTCTTTAACTTAAATTAGGATTTTTTATGAAGTTTATTGTAAATTGAAAAATATATATATATTTTTAACCCAAGTGTTTTGGTTACTAGTGGACTTGTTGGTTCGTCTTGGCCTAAAACGAGACCCTTGTTTAAATATTATCCACCAATTTTAATGTCGCAGTCGTCTTGCCTATTTTTTTAATGGACATTTATAACATTGATTAAACATTTTTTTATAGAATAGGACACTCAAAACAAAATAAGTTCCCATCATAGCTCAAAGACGGGATGAGTGCAACAAGTACTACACCGAAATGGGAATTGTTTTTAACGCTTTACTATTAAATCAAAAGGGAAATCAAATTTTACTAAGACAAAGTGTCTTAATCCTAATTTACGACAAGTAACCATGTTGAATATCAATTACATAGAGCTCATCCTTTCTTTGAACTAAAATGAAAATAAAACAAATTTGGTTTGATTGCCTTATTTTAAACATAAAAAAAAAGTTTTATCAATTTTAAAAATGCCCATTGCTTTGTGTTCTACTCAATTTCAAATGGCGGTGAGTTGGTAGGCAATCTTCAATAAATTAGGGCAAAACATTTTAGGCCTAGCCGAATCATTATCCAATGGGTTGTATATCATATAGTTATGTATATGGATAACACCATGTACCTGTAAAAATTATTTGAATTGTTAAACCAGTGAGGTTTGTGAATAATTTCGCACATCGGTGCATGTGTTTCAAAAGTAAAAAAAAAAAAAGTTAGAATATGATTTTGTATTGAAGTATTTTTTTTATCGAATTCCCAGCTAGGTGAAAACACAATTTTTTATTCACTTAATAAAAAAATGGAAATATACCACTTTTTTTTTATCAAGAAAGGCTTTAATTATAAAGATTATTCGCCAAGGTATATAAGGCGTAAGAAAGATAGGTTATTAAATTTTGTACATGTAAGATGTAATTTACAATTTGTTTAATAAGTTAATTTTAATGAAAAATTGCCAGGTAATTTTTGCGTTGTCTTCGTTGAGTGCTTCTTCTAACGAAGTCGGAATTGTGAGTGCAATGCGTGCGTTTGTATGTATAGGGCAGTGGATGATGATATGTTTGATTGTTAGGTTTGTTCGGCATGTATCACATACTGGTCTAGGCTCTTTGCTAATAAGGTATCAATGGGTAAGGTGGGTGTGTCATTATTTTAGTCTGGTGGTAGCTGTCTCTTCTCTTCTTATTAAGGGTTGATACGATTAGGGTTGATCGTCTGTCTATATAAATGTATTGCTATTGTAACCCATATATCGTTGTTAACAATATAGTGAATTATTTCCATTGCCTGTTTACTCACTTACACATAGACATATGTGACATATTTCTTAGCTCCGCATCGAAGCTAAAAACCAAAAATGATTCACATAAATTGTCAGTAAGTCGGGTTGGCCATGTATTTCTTGAGACCTTGAATTTGTCTTTTGAACATGTAACAAATAATTCGTATATTTTCATTTATGTAAACAGTGGAAATGGAAACGCACATCGAATCAACCAAGTGTTTTTCTGAAGAAAAAAATTGTGTCTTCGAGTTAACGCTCAGGCTAAAATTCGGCAAATATACTTCCATAGCAAATCATATTTCGAAATCTTTGTTTACTTTTGAAATACATGTGCCAATGTGCGAAATTATACAAAACCCTCACGCTCTAACAATTAAAATAATTTATACAACTATGTCATTGTCTTATAATTAATGACTTATTGGTTCGTATTGGCCATTTTTTACCATCACCACCATTTTAAATATTTTGAAATTGAGTGGAACACAAAGCAATGGGCACTATTAAAATTGATATATTTTTTTTTATTTGACCCTGAGACCCAATGGTTTTCATCATCATTTTCTAGTATTTCTTTTTTGAAAACATTTTTGGTTACCATATTTTACAATATTATAAAAATACTAAACATTAACCTTTTTTTTTTTATTATTTTCCTTAATCTTATCAACTTTTAGAAACTTAAATTGTACCGTATGTATTTAATTTACTATTTAAACTGAGAATAATTTTCTACATTTTTATCACATTCAGTCAGCTCGGGCCAACTCAAATCCCGATCCCAATTGTAATGGCTAATTCCATTTTGAATATTCGTCGATATCCATACTTAAGGTTAGGTTAGTTTTTATGATTTACGGACTATTAAAGAGGGTAGTTGTAAAATAATAAAATATCTATGTGCGCAAATTGTATGTAAATAGTATATTCGATTCGATAACATTTTTCATTTTTCACGATTTGCTATGACCTTCGAATTTTCGACGTAAAAAGTAATACTAATAGATGCGCACAAAAAAAAAAAAATTGAAATCGAATATTTACAATTTTATGTATTGATTTAGTCGTCCAATCGACGTATTTTTCTGCATAAAACTTATAATTTGAGTTGAAGTTTTTTTTTGATGATCAAAGTAGGACAACGAATGATACAAATTTTGGTTGTGTATAATTTTTAAATCCTATTACATCCATCCTTAGTAATTTGATAAATTATGGATAACTAGGGACACGTGTGTAGGAAAATATTACAATCACCATAACACAAAGATTTCTAGTAATTTCAATGATATATTATCTGCAAATTCATTATGAAATTGCTACAATACAAACGGTACACATAGGAGTGATTAGTCGAAAAGTCGGACAAAATTATTTTAAATGGTCAAAAATAAAACAACATTTAATAATTTCCACAAGTTTTTGTTCCGTCAACGAAAGATTTTTTTCGATATTTTTTCCTCGAAACTCCTAAAGTGTAGTGTTCTCTCTTGGTATACATTTTCCTTAAGGTTTAAAAAACAAAAAAAGTTGAAAAAAATTCAAAGCATTAATACAATGTTGCGGTATGCCTGATTCGAACCAGGTATACTCCGCGTTATACTTAACTATTCATTTTTGTCGACTTTAAGTAGTTAGAAATGTTTTATGGATTTAGGTTC